AAATAATAATAATTTATCCCATGAAATAAATAATAGATTACATAGTGATAATGTTAGCCACATAAATAGTCATGCCATGTTATGTTACAAATAACATAACAAACTTATAAACATTTATTTATCAATAAAAATATTTAACGAGTGTACGTATTAGATAAAAATCCATATTATCCATCGACAAACAGAAAATTAAGAAAGCAAATTATTAGTAGTTGATGGGTAAATGTGTGTGTGTGTGTGTGTGTGTGGCACCCTATGGTAGTATAACTTTTGGGTTTTGAATGATTATATTCTGCCAAATATTTTATTGTCTTGTAGATGTCTTTAGGTGGCTTTTGTGACAGTTGGTTTGTCGTTTAATACTTGTCATTGTCTCTGCGATTTTTAGTCCTTATATTCTTGCCATGAGTTGGTCCCATTTCGAAAGTAACAATCTGTACCAAGGCTGTTGTAGCTGTCGTTTTTTATGTGCACGAGTTCCCTTCTTTTCTCAATTCCAAACAAAAGCTCTCTCAAGGGTTCTGTTCTGAAGTAGGGGACGGTGTATCGTTTTGCCCCACCATACTTGGTAACCCAAATTACACATTAATCTTTCTTGTTAAAGTTTTGATTATTTGTTATTATAGTTTCATATTAGTGTCACGGGCGATACTTTTTTTCTCAAAAAGTTAAGTTGATAGGATGTGCAATGTTCACGTTTTTAAATTTTCTAAGATATCTTACTTTCTTCATCATGTTGATTACTTTTGAAACGTTTAACGTGACGGTAGTACTTAGGACCATGTGGTATTAGATAAGAAATGTGAAATTGATGTGCTTTGGTCAGCTTGGATATTCATATTCTTGTGTGTTTCTGTTATATTCTATGAAAACTTGTGTGCTCTTACTCTGGAGTATGGACAAGCATCTAATTTGTCTATAATAAGGAAATTGGACCACATCCTATAGATTTATACAATCTCAAGCAAGTAACATAGTGAGATTGAGAGATCATTTTGCTGTAGTTTTCCATGTATACTACCAAAGAGAGCAGAAGGCAAAATGAAGGGCCTTTTGACAAGTGAGAAAGGAAATTAGAGTGCATATCTCTTTCATTCTTAAGTCTTCAGTCCGGACAGTTCCGTGGGTTGAGGTGGAGTCTCCTCTCTCTACTTAAAGGAAAATTAACAAGACCCTTCTTTAGAGATTTTATTCTCTTGAGCATTAAAGTATGAGCATCACCACATCCGCATTGGATTATTTTGGATCGCAGTCAATAAAATTAAGCTAAAAAGAGTGAAAAGCAGAGGACATTGAGGAAAGCAACTCGGATTCCTGAGCTCCTAGAAAGCCAAAAAACAAATACATATATATATATTATTTGAATAGGAAATAGAGAGTTGCAGCGGAAAGATAATGACTGAGCTAATCATTTTATAATAATAATCCCCATCATTTCTCCCAGAGGAATCTCGAATTCCATTTCCCATTCTTTCTTTGTTTATTTATCTCTCCCTCCTTTTTTGAAAGTTAAGAGAGGTCAGTTTTTTCCACAAACAAAATCATGCGACCTTTTACTGTGTAAAATAATATAAACCTACACATCCTCCCATGTATCCATGTCTGTCATCCATTCAAACTCTTCCTATCTAAAGCCAAACACACCTGACCTTGTCCCTCTCTCCCTCTCAACACATTTTTCAAAACCCTCTTTCCTTTGCTCCACAATCCCCCCGAGGTCCGTAAAGCCAGCGAGAAATAATAAAGCTTGGTACAAAGGTCTACAAACCCTTCTAAGCTAAACCCAAAGCTGAAGAGTCCATGAAGATCCTCTCCATGTTACTCTTTCTCACTTCTCTTCTCTTCCCATTCTTCTTAGGTTCCCAGTCTGCAACAATCCTGGTAGATGGTGTTTCAGAGTGGGAAAACCCCAGTGTTAATGTGGGAGACTCAATAAGTAAGTATACTTACTTTAAAAGCAACCAAAAAGTTCAATATTATTGGTTCTGACTACTGGTTTACTGATTCTTTGTTCAGCTACCAACTAACATTCCTATGCTTTTTGTCTTTAATCTCCTCAGTTTTCAAACACAAGTATCACTACAACCTCTATATTTTCCGGAACAAAAATGCCTTCAACCTCTGCAATTTCACCCAAGCTACACTTCTCACCAAACCCAACTCCACCTCCTATGCGGTATGTCTCTCTACCAAAATTCAACTGGGTTTATTTCAGGAATGGCTTAACTGCTTGTTTTCTTTGCCATTGGTATCCTATTCCCAAATTGGTCAAAGATTTCTTAGCTCATTATAAGTCATGATTACCACTCCTTTTCTTACAATATTACAGCTTGCTTAAAGGTTCTGTTTTTTTATTCCTGTCTGAACTTTTCTTGGATTCTTCAAGGCTGAGAAAGAAAAAAAAAACGAAAGCACTAATTTCCCAATCAACTTCCTTTATACAATGTGCAGTGGCACCCTTCTCGCCCTGGTTTCTTCTACTTTACTTTCAACAATGGCTCCCTCAAAACATGCCAAGGCTCTCAAAAGCTCTCCATAAAAGTCTCTCCCGCGCTGCCTCCAGAAAATGCAACCACCCCTTCACCAGCATTACCTCCAGTACCGGCTCCAGCACCGACTTCCGGTGGATCAGTTGTGTCATCTTCCCCAGCATATCCATGGCCATTCCGGCCTCGCCAGGCGGTTTCACCAGCACCAAGCGCTAGCTCACCGGTGGCAGTACCAACTCTGGTGCCAGATAAAGGTGGTGGCATCCCTTTCATCAACAGCAACCCTGCAGTTCCTTTGCCTACTGGTGAAGTTGACTCTGCCACTATTCGCCCTTGGCCCACCTCTGCTCATGGAGGGCAGGTACAAATTTTATTTTTCTCTCTGTCAGTGCATGAGTCCTTACATGCTTACCCAATGAAAGACTTCGATATTTTTTTTCCAATACTTTGAAAATACTAGGATTTTTTATTTTATATTTTTTTTGTAAATACAAAAGACGAATAAAAAAGTAATAAAATATTCATTATTATTTCTTGAAAAGTAACAATAACTGTTAAGTTAAATCTAAACTATTTTGAAAATACTAGTGATACTTTCCATCTTGTGATAATACTATGCTTCCTGTGACAAACTAGAACGTGTTAGTGCTATTCCTACTTGTTGGATTCCTGCAATAAATAATGATCAGAATCAACTGTTCCATTGTATCCCTGTTAAAACTTAATCACTGTCAAAGCAGTGACACACAGTTAGAGATTTACAAGCTCCTTTGAATGCAAATGTATAACCCGATTCAGTTTAAACTTACGGTGATATTTATATGTATCTATGTGTATAGAACCAACTTGATGGGGTGTTGGGTGGTTGCAGGCGGTGGTGGGGTTCCTTGCAGCTCCAATGGCACTATTATCTGTGGCTTTGCTTGGGCTGTAAGAAGAGAGAGATGGATTGGAGGGAATGGGTTGGCCAAATTTATTGTACATTAAAACATAATATATTTGGAGTGATTAGAGGGTAAAGTAGCTTTAAGGTCCATGATTATATGGTAAGCTCTTTGTGAGGAGAAAGGTAATGCCATCTAGACCCTACTTTGGAATCATTGCCACTTTTGCTCTTTAGTTTTGCCATGCTATTGATTACTTCTACTTTTACTTTTTCTCATCCCTCCCCCACTCTTCTCTTTTTTTTTTTTTTTTCACATTTTCCATCTTCAGGACAATTTAATTTGAATCCACTTATCATTGCATGTTATTCTGCCTTTTTCCTTTTTCCTTTTTCTTACGAAACAAATCTATACATTGTTCTTGGATGAGCTTAGAGTAAGGACATTGAAAGATATTTCATATTTGTGGGTAGAGTGAATTTTAAACTTTTAAGCTTCTTTATATTTATATATATATATATATATATAATGCTTTTATTTATCAAATAAAAACAAACACACATAAAGGTTACACTTAGTAAAACAAAGGTTAAGGGTTTTACATTTTTTTTATTTCTCTCTCTATATAGGGAGAATAACATTGATTTTTTTTTTCTGAAATGAAAATTTCTACCTATTACATGATCTAAAAGAAAAGATGGTAAAGGATACTTTTATAATCAGTATTATTTTGGGTTTTTTGTGAGCATTATTAATTGGATTCGAATATTAAGTGTTGATTTTTAATTGGATTGGGAGAGGATATGTATAGTTTTAATAAGGTTCAAGTTTGGGTGTCCTTTTTCTTTATTTTTATTGTTTTATGAACATTCTTTCATGGCCAAGGAAAAAAAATAAAACATGAATTCTTTTTGGATATAAGTTTATGAAAACACATTGAGCCTGCGTATCCAATTTATAAGACCACCAGCCCGTGTCTCCTGTAAATTGAGTTGCTTAGTATGGGTAAATATTCAATAATTATGCAAGCATTTCATGAATATAAACTACAAACTTGAGCAGTAGGTTGCCCCAGCCTGGCCCCATCAAATAAACAATTTATTAGATTCATTTAAATTAATTAAAAGCATTTTTAACTAGTATAGCATTAGTAAAAGTTCAAATCTATATATGATTAAGAGTTTGTTCATTTGGGATAATTGTGCAAGTTTTTCCAGGTTCAAGTCCTGATTAAACTAAGCCTGATCCATGAGCTTCTCTCTCATTCAGAGCAACATTAGCAACACTAGCCTAATCTTGCATTATTTATCCATACCCTTCCCATTAATCCCCTAGTTATGGGATTCCTGTTCTTTATTTGTTTCTTATGACCAGATATTAATCATTATGATGCTTACTTATAGCAAAAGATTTGGTAAAATCAAGTCCTTGTATTCAATAAAGTTGCCAAAGGAATCCAACTTCAACTTTTGAGTGTATGGTAATTAACACCAGGAAAGGCCACGGTTTTTTCCCCTATTATGGACCCAAATGCAACCTTAATTTGGGCAATACCGAAATGGCACCTTTTCTGGTTGCACCCAATGTTTCACTGCAAAGGTATTGGTAACATTTTAAGATTTTATATTTCAGGCACCGGAGATGTCAAAATAATGTAAAGCATTTGGAGTTTTGTCTCAATTATAGATTTCTAGTGCTCCCAACACACGGCACTGCTGTGCCATACATATTCTCTCTATTCTCAATTATGAATACAAGTCTTTGACCACATTTTGTTGTAAATGAAATATCCTTAGCTTTGTGGCCAAGGCAATACAAAATAAAAGCAACCGACTTTCAACTGTTATTGTGCCGTCCTTTGACACAAGGTCCTGTTGGGAAGCAACGAATATATCCTTTTCTCTTATAACACACACCACGATGCTTTCCATTAATTTTCCCTATTCAGCAATGCCTCATTACCCATGTTCATCTTCTTCTAATTTTAATCAAGCACAAACCAAGTCAGAATAGCCATGGAGCTGGAATTAGGACTCAAGATTACACATACTCGAGATGATATCACTTCAACAACCGATCTTCGGATTAGCAAAGATCCTTTTGGTCCTGTTTTCTTGTCTAGAGAAACTGACCATATGTTCATCCTCATTGCTCATCTCAAAGGTCCCTCTCTTCTTCTTCTTTTTCTTTATTTTTATGGAACTTTGTTTCCATGGGTGTTGATATTATGATGTCAATGAAAGATTTGACACTCATGCAGGTTTTAGAAGGGAGAACATCTTCATTGAGATAAATAAAGATGGGAATCGGATTGCCATAAAGGGGGAGAAACCTGTTCAGGAGATGGTGATGTTAGGGTGGATTATGTGCAAGAAGGAGGTTGAGATAAAGGCTTTTAGAAAGGTCTTTCGTATTCCTGATGTTGTCAACTTGGAAAGAATAAAAGCTAAGTACAATGAAGAAGAATCAATTTTAAGAATTATCATGAAAAAGAAAGTTAAAGGAATTTGTGGTATTAGGATTGAAGAAGAAGAAGAGCCTATGATGATTAAAGAGGAGGTACCAAGGGAAGAGGTGGTTGAAAGGAAGGAAGCTGAAGAAGTACTAATGGAACAGGCGACTGAAAGGAAGGAAGTTGAAGAAGTACCAACGGAAGAGGTGGTTCAAAGGAAGAAAGTTGAAGACGTACCAATGAAAGAGGTGGCTGAAAGGAAAGAAGTTGAAGAAGTACCAATGGAAGAGGTGGTTAAAGGGAAAGAAGTTGAAGAAGTACTAATGGAAGAGGTACTCCAAAGGAAAGAAGTTGAAGAAGTATTAAAGGAAGAGATGGTTCAAAGGAAGGAAGCTGAAGAAGAAGTATGGAAGGAAGAGATGTTTGAAAGGAAAGAAGCTGAGGAAGAAGTACGGAAGAAAGAGATGGTTGTAAGGAAAGAAGTTGAAGAAGAAGTATGGAGGGAAGAGGTGGTTGAAGGGAAAGAAGTTGAAGAAGAACCAAAGGAAGATGTGGTTGAAGTACAAGAGGAAGTTGAAAAAGGACCAAGAGTAGAAGTGGTTGAAGAAAAAGAAGCTGAAGTGGTACCAAGTGTAGAGCTTGTTGAAAAAAAGAAACCTCAAGAGGTACCAAGGGTAGAGCTTGTTGAAAAAAATAAAATTGAAGAGGTAATAAAGGCAGAATTGGTTAAAAAAAAAGAACTTGAAAACGTACCAAGGGCAGAGCTTGTTGAAAAGAAGAAACCTAAAGAGGTACTAAGGGTAGCGCTTATTGAAAAGAAGAAACATGAAGAGGTAACAAATGTAGAATTGGTTGAAAAGAAGGAACCTGAAAAGGTACCAAGGCCAGAGCTTGTCGAAAAGAAGAAACCTCAAGAGGTACCAAGGGTAGAGCTTGTTGAAAAGAAGAAACCTCAAGAAGTACCCAAGATAGAGCTTGTTGAAAATAAACTTGGACAGATACCAAAGGTAGAATTGGTTGAAGAGGAGGAACTTGATAAGATACCAAAGGTAGAGCTTGTTGAAAAGAGAAAACCTCGAGAGCTACCAAAGGTAAAGCTTGTTGAAAAAAAACAACCTAAAGAGGAACCAAAAGTAGAATTGGTTGAAAAGAAGGGACTTGAAAAGGTACCAACGGTAGAGCTTGTTGAAAAAAAGAAACCTAAAGAGGTACCAAGGGAAGAATTGGTTGAAAAGAAAGAACTTGAAAAGGTACCAAAGGTAGAGCTTATTGAAAAAAAGAAACTTGAAGTGGTACCAAAGGTAGAGTTAGATGAAAACAAGGAACCTAAAGAGATAGCAAAAGTGGATATTGTTGAGGAAAAGATTCAAACCACTAAAGAAATTAATCAAAGTCAAGTTGAAGCACAAGAAGAGGTTAAGAAAGAAAGTAGTATTGAGTTAGAACCAGAAAACCCAAAGTCAGAGGAAAAGGAAGAAATTGAAGAGAAGATTAAGAAAGAAGAACCAGAGGCAGTGGAAAATGCAATTTTTGAGAAGCTTGAAAAAGTTGAAGAGATAATTCGAGAAGAACCTCAAATTGAAACAGTGGAGGAAACCAATCAGGTTTTGGACACACCGCAAGAGATCCTGGAAGAAAAAGTGGCAATTCCTTCTACTCCACCAAAATTTCAAGAACCAAAAGCAATGGAGCCTGAAATGGTTGAACCACAGATGATAGGGATGCCATCAATTAAAGAACCAAAAGAAAAAGAACCAACTAATGAGAGACAAAAGGTTCCACAACCAGCGGAAGAAACATGGGAAGAAGAAACAGAAGATGCAGTAGATCAAATGACTCAACAGTCAAAATTACCAAGTTTACTACTAAGTCAAGCTGAAGACAGAAAAACTACAAATGAGGATGATCAAGCAGAAGATTTAACTTCTGAACAATCAGAAGAGTTGGAAATTGGAGTAGATGTTCGGGAATCAAAAATGGAACCTGAACCTGATGAAGAGCCAAAGGAAGCTGAAACTTCAATTGAAAAACAACTTGGAGATGAATCAGATCAGGAAAATGAAATTGAGAACATGGAAGGTGAAATCGGTGAAGAAACTGACCAGAAAGAACATCGCCAAGAGAATGAAAGTAGCATGGATATATCTCCTGAAATGGACGTTGACAAAGGTCCAATCGAAGGAGCAACTATGGACGAGAAACGAAAAAAGACTAGGCTGCGTAAACCTTTAATGTTTGCAGGATCAGCATTTCTTGTCTCCCTTATAGTGTTAGTTATTAACTTACTTAGAGCAAAAAAAAGATAAAACTGAAAGTATTGGTGCCTTTGTTTTCCATTTTTGTACTGATGATAATCTTTGATGCTGCATAGTGAATATATTGTCTCCTTCTAACTTTTGAGAGCTTTCTAATCTCATTGTAGTTTTCACTATTTACACCTTTAACTCTAAATTTGAATTGCAACAATGTGTTAGTGCCAGAACAAACATATATTTTTGGCTTAGAAGTTGATGGCTACGCTTCGTCTTTAAATCTGAGCGCAAGATCAAATCTTTCCAAAACTCTATAAATTTTATATGGTAAAAGAAACATTGTTAATAAAAAAAGAAATAATATAACATTTGATTTTAGATCAACATGGTTCTGACTTCTGAGAACAATATCAAAACTAAAGGTATTGTCAAGTCTACAAAGACATATTAGAACTAGAGGTTTGGTTCTTTCCTATAATAAAAAATCGCAGACTCGACAAGATATCCTGAACTACATAAACAATGAATTATAAAATTCTTCAATCCAAATGTAATAACCGTTTAAATAACACAAAATTTAGTTAAACACCTACAAAGTACAACCATTTGTCTTTAGGTCTCTATCTCTGACTGACCTCAGCTATTACTGTTAGTTGTAGAGATTATATAGACTACTTATTGCTAACATTGACGCACATCTTAGCGATTAACTTTATAGATCCAATATTTTGCTCTTATTTTTGGTGCAAAGCATGATTCCAAACAGAAAACTTAAAAGAGGCAAAAACTGTTCAAGCTTTTTTAAAAAAACTTAATCTCCTTCCACCCACTGTAAATGTTGTACCTTAATAATCAAAGAAACATCTTAATTGTTGGAGTAAATATTTCATTAAAGGTAATGAAAATCTATTTACCAACCATCTTTTGACCAAAATAATCAATTATTTAGAACTGCTCTAGATATTAAAGGATGAACTGATGAAGAAAACAAATCATAAAATTTGATTTAATTTCATGCATGCTTGGACATGTTCAGAGCATCATAATGAGTCTACATTATCAACATACATTGAATGGAAAACTAGCAACCAAAAACCATTATTGAGCAATTATACAAGGTCAGCAGATTTGAAACTGTGATCTAAATTTCCTTCTTCGTATGCATGTAGTTGTATTCAATACTGTTTGAACCCCTAAAATGATAGATTTACCCTTATATTGTAAATCTTTTCCAAGTCTAGAATAGAGAATGTTTTGTAGAAGTTTCATGTAGGTGAATGGCCATATCCAACTATAAAGCTTGGAATGCAATAAAGTACCCTTTCCCATAATACAGTAAGGCAACTTACTAAAACTATCAAAGAAAACTTTCTTAAAACTTAAAAACAATAACATGAAATGGTTTGATCCGAGGTTATCCAAGGATTAATTTTGCCTTTAAATTGTGAAAATGAGGTAATAGAAGGAAAAAAAAAAGGTCTTTTGAGTTCAAATATAGTATAAGAACCACATTGAAAATGGAGGATAAGAAAAAATGGTAATAGTAATAACAATAGTCATACTAAAATAAAGAAATGAAGAGACTCCCCTTAAAGATGTACACAAAAATGACAAATCTATAGTTTGATTCAATTAGCTTTAATTATTAGCCGACTAAAGGAGGTAAACCTTAGATGGCTTAGCTGGAAGAAAGTAGCTCACAATCAATGTAGATCTTAACTACTGAAAAATAGAGGTACAAGGCAAAATATTTCCCAAGTTATGCAAATCTAGTTGGTGAAGACTATCTTTTCTTGCATAACATTGACAAGCTCAAATGGAGGTAAGGTTCGCCAAACATCATGTCCAATTAATTGGTATTATCAAACGTGTAGGCCTAGAGTACCAAGAAATAGTACCATGACAAATTATATGAAATAATAATGTTTAAGTGTAAGTGGTCAAGTTTTGCACTATAAAATTAAAGCAACACCTCTTTAAACATGAGCAGTAGGAATTTCAATTCCAAACTAGGTTGCTTGGAGAAGCTGTTAACTAGTCATAACATTCCAACATTGATAGGCAAATTGGAAAAGATGCAGCACAAGTTGAGGTCAAGGAAACGATTGATTGAAATCCTGAAATCATGTCATGCCCCCATCTTCTTCTCATCCTCTTTGTGGTCTTGATATACATACAGATTGTCTGATCATGTTTCTTTCAATCTTTTCCATGCTTTTTCATTTTACAGATAAGTTTAGTCTGGCTCTAAGGAATGCCATGAAAATGCCAGCCATTTTCTCATTATAAGTTGACCCAGTAAATAAAGATTTTTTTGAGACCACATAGAAGTACTTCCAATTCAAACCAGTTCTTTTAATAATTAAAATGCAAATGGTTGAACAGTTAAAGAGGCATTGTAAGGGTGGCTCTAGCATCATCTTTGGTGGTCCTACTAATGGCTAACTTTGCTTTCTCAGGAGATCTTATTCTGACTTAAAAAGTTAATGATTTTTCATTAATGAACGGGTAAAAGGCCGCTGCTACGATGAATAATAGGAAGCTTTAAGGCATTTAACAATGGCATATCAATGAAAAGATCTATTCTTTACCTCAAAGTGGGCACAACTAAGGCTACTGTCTTGTCAAATACTGAATTATTAACCAATAATGACGAGTGAAAATGCAAAAGTAGCCATGACTATTTACAGAATTGAATATTAATCATTTGCAGCTTTTACGTAGATAATCCAGAACCATTTGTCAGAATCCTTTATCTAATCAAGATGTTCAAAGGCCATGAGATATCTTGAGTTGCAGACAAGGAATGTGACTTCTGTGTTCCCAAAATCCTAAGAACTATGATGAGTTGTGCTTGGTTATGATAAAAGGCAAACCTTCACCAAATTTGAGAATTTTTAAAAGAAGTAGTTCTTTGGGTTTGTGTTGTGGAACTCGCTTGTGTGATATTGAATGTGCTCAAAATTAAATGTAAAATATAAGCAAAAACTAAGTGCAAGTACACACGGTCGTAACAAATAATATAGTGATAAGTTAAGTTTGTCGATCCCTTAGAGAAATGTATCTAAATTCTTACTAATTACTTAAATTGAGCAATCTAATCTTATCCAAGGAAACCTACAATTGAAATTAATTGAAAATGAAAATTAAAGTAGCAAGGCTAAACTAGTGAACTAAGCTAAAATAAATTGCAAGTAAATTAAGTTGGAAAACAGTGGAGAAGTACCTAGGATTATGGTTTTAATTAATGCTTTATTTGGACTTAAGATTGACTAATTACTTACTTTATGGAAAACTAATGCTACCTTAGGATCTTTAAGCATGTATGATTCTCCGTCGAAATATTGTAAAGTCCTATAAATTGATTGTATATGGTTAATAGGTGTATGTTTACCCTATTAACAAATCACCCAATTAATTCCTAATTGCAATGATCATATATTACTCAAACCATGATCTTTTTAAACTAACTTTGTCAAGTGTTATCTAAAAATCTATACACATCTTGTTAGTGATCAGTCAATAAAATGAAAAATAAGGACAGATTTGGATAAACACTAAATATTCCATAAAACAAGTAATAGTCAATCAAGCATCCAAATTATACATTAATATCTACTATAATCCTAGAAATGAAAGTTTAGTTTAACATTTCAACATCCCACAACAAAATTTAAACAAAACTAAACATTTATACAAGGAGATTTAAAAAGAGAAAAACAAGCTAGTGAGAGAAACCTCTATTTGCTACAGCTTTGTCAAGCTCTTCTTCAAGATTTTTCCTTTTCTTTTCTCCTTGTGGAAAGCTCCTTTTTGCCTTTCAAGTTGCTCCTCCAAAAAGCCCCCCTTTCAGCCTTAAAAAGGCCATTTTTTATACCATTCCACATGGCCCTTTGATATGAAAGATTGGAAGGTCCAATAACATTTAAGTTGGCACTACAGCACTAAGTGTCTGGCACTATAGCATTGAGTTCACTGCCAAAGGCAGTGTTGCTTCATTGAACAGCGCTGCAGTGCTGAGTTTACTACCAAAGGTAATGTTTGTAGTGTTGGATAGCGCTATAGCGCTGAGAGCTTGGTGCTGTAGGGCTGGAGGTTCTATTTGATGAGGGATTTTGATTGACTAGGACAACGCTGCAGTGCTACGGGCTTGGCGCTGCAACGTTGTGCTTGTTGTTTCCATGCTTTGTTTCTTCAAGCTGCCTAGTGTAGAAATACTCTGATCAAGCTACTTCTAACATGATTTTGACTATGCTCAGATCAGAATTGGTGAAGTTATAAACATGAAAGTTGTAACCCTTTCTTTTAGCTTTCCAATGGTCTAAGAATCACGTTGATTAGATTTCTGTAACTTGAGTTATGTCTGAAATACCACTGCATGTTCAGTGAAGTTTGCACTTAGCCAACTTGTTCAATTCCTTATCACTTGATTCCTTTTCTTTTGAGGACCCTAAAAACATATGAGCTAAACCAGCCATAGCTAAAAATAGACATTTTTACCATATAAATGAGTTAAAATAACTTGAAATAAACTAACTCAATCATGAGTTAATTAATTAGAAAAAATAAAGTAAATTATTTAAAATTTTATCTAACCTCAAAATTTTAATTATTTAATCACTCAAAATATAAAAAGATAATTTTATGTAATAGAGTCAAGAGTCTGACAGCCGTCTTGAAACCAAATCAAAAAATGTCATCCAGAGCCTGTCAAGATTTTGTAGGATAGAAGGAATAAATGAGAAAGCCAAACTCTGGTTCACCTTCCTTTGGAGATGCCTACCAGCCGACATATGTCAGCCAGGAAAGACTGAAAGCCATTCTTGGAATTAGACCAGCTAAATACATGGGTCCGTTAACACACAAAAAATAAAAATTCAATTTCAAGAGCTGATCATTGTGGTTCCGGACTCTTTAACATTTTATTCCAACTTAAATCTCCATCCCTCATCAAAATCCAAATCTTGAAAATCTTCCGGAGGATGTTGGATTGTTCTGAGTCAGACTCAAGACAGTTAAAACAGTCATATTTGTGCTGGAAGGAAATATATTGTTGTTTTTGTCATTACCTATCTGATCAAAGTCTCCAAACCTTTTTAAGTTCCCAGTTGATTATCATAGCCAATAATTCAACCTAAAATCTTAAGGCTCTGACAAACTAAACTCAAATGCAACGACTCTTATTTCTCCTCTTCCAAGAAATCCAGCTTGC